CCAAGGAAAAGGATCAGTAAGAATGAAATTGTAGAGTTCTTGAAAGGGCTAATATCTGAGCAGACTGGAATCTCAATCAACAACATCTCAATCACAGACAACTTGACCTCATATGGAATTGACTCAATTGGTGTGGTTAAAGCAACTCAAAAACTCTCAGATTTCTTAGCAACTCCGATTTCAGCCATAGATGTTTTCACTGCATCCTGCATTCTAGAATTGGCTAACTTCTGTGAAGATCTTCTATCAAAGTCTCAGCCTCAACTTACTAGCAATTCATCCAATGTTCCAGAAGCTCAGACTGGTTCCACTGAATTGATTGTGGAGGTATCCAAGTCTCGGCAGTTTGGTATCCGTGTACTTCAACTCCTATCCCTTATTTATATTTCTATCATTCTGGTGTCTCCTGCATATCTATCCGTCACTACTTATCAAAATTTCATCTTAAGTGCCAGTAAATGGATAGATGGATTTCCCTGGTTACATTACTTACTTTCCCTGACTTTTGCACCTGTTGCATGGATTCTTTGCATGGCTTCTACTTGCATTTGCATATCATTATTTGGAAGCTCTTTCTTGGGGCCAAACTATGACCCTACCTCTGAAATTTCCATACATTCAATGGATTTTGTCAAGTGGTGGACACTGTATAAGGCCCAAGAAATTTCTTCTAGAGTTCTGGCGGTACACCTCAGAGGAACAGTGTTTCTGAAATGCTGGTTTGAGATGCTGGGCGCAAGGATCGGATCATCAGTTTTACTTGACACGGTTGACATCACAGACCCATCTTTGGTGTCAATTGGAGATGAAGTTATCATGGCTGAAGGTGTTTTGGTTCAAAGCCACGAGGTAAAGAATGGAATTTTATGTTTCCATCCTATTAGGATTGGCAAATGTTCTTCTATTGGACCTTATGCAGTTATCCAAAAGGGAAGTGTCATTGAAGAAGGTGCTGAGATACAGGCCTTGCAAAAGGTTGGACCAGACCAACATGTGTTTAAACCTGCAAAGCTTGATAATGGCATTAAGGTATGTTATGTACAAGTAAGAAATGCTTATAAAATTATTTTATATATTCTGAAGATATATTTTAGGTCATTATTTTAATATGTGACATCCTCTGCCTAGTATTTTTCTCTGATTATGGAGTGAGCTCAAAGTCAAGTGAAGCTAGAACCATTAACTAATACCTTCTATTTTTTATTTCAGAAAACAGAGCTCTCTGTTAATACCAGAAAAACTCAATGTGATATTATCTACCACTTTATGGGAATATATCTTGTTGGCTTTCTCAGCTCCCTTGCTGCGGTCATTTCCTACTTCTTGTATACTAGGTTCTCCAACCAACCTCTATCACCCCAACACTTTTCCTTTGTTTGCATAGGTGGGGCCTTCCATTGGATCCCGTTTACAATGGCTGCATATGCTACCATGTTTTCTGAAGTCTCGTCAAACCCAATCACCTTTGCCATTTCATTTACCAGCGCCTATTTGCTTCATGGTTTCATTCTCATCATTCTCACCATTTCTTTTACTCGTCTCCTCAAAACTAGTCAAAACCAGACACAATTTAAAACATGGCTTCAATGTCAACTGACAACTTCCTGCCATCTTAGATGTGCAAAGCTTCTCTCAGGAACAGAAGCCTTCTGCATATATCTACGCCTTTTGGGTGCCAAAATTGGTAAGCATTGTTCCATCAGAGCCATCAACTCAGTTTCATATCCAGAGTTAATGTCAATAGGTTCCGGCGTCCATCTTGGAGATTTTAGCCGGATAATTACAGGTTTCCATTCTTCAAGTGGATTTGTCAGTGGAAAAATTGAGATTCAGGACAATTCGGTTATTGGGAGTCAAAGTGTAGTCCTACCTGGTTCTCTAGTCCAAAAGAATGTCATTCTCGGTGCACTTTCAGTTGCTAAAATGAATTCTACACTCCAAGAGGGTGGTGTCTACGTTGGATCAAAGTCCCAAGCTGTCATAAGGAACTCGATGAAGAATGCTTGTGATGAATGGATACAAGATATAGACAACATAAGCAAAAAAAGGGTTGTTGATTTGGCTGCAGAACACAAAAATGACTCACAGAAATTGACCCTGACCAGAACATGGTTTCAGACGTTCTCAGCACTCTTCACTCAGCCATTGCTACAAACAGTGTTACCTCATATGGTGTTAGGTTTAGCGGTCTTTGCTCCCTTGAACTGTGTTGTTTGCCTAAAGAGTGACAAGAAACTTCAAATATATTGGTTGCTCCCATTGTTTTGGGTTCTGTCAGGAGCCTTAGCATCATTGGCATGTGTGATAGCGAAATGGATTCTTGTGGGAAGGAAGAAAGCAGGTGAAAGAGTGGCTATATGGAGTCAAAGAATCATATTGGACAGCACATGGCAGGCCATTAGAAGCTTAGTTTGAGAGTATTTTATGGACATGACAAGTGGGTCATTTTGGCTTGTGGTGTGGATGAAGTTGATGGGTGCAGATGTTAATATGGAAGATGATGTTTACGTAGATAGCATGGGAGCCTTATTGAACCCAGAAATGGTGAAGATTGAGAGAGGGGGTTGTGTAGGAAGAGAAGCCTTGCTGTTTGGACACGTGTATGAAGGTGAAGGAGCAATGGTGAAATTTGGAGAGATCAAAATAGGAGAAGATGGTTTTGTAGGGAGTAGAGCTGTGGCCATGCCAGGTGTGCAATTACAGAATGGCAGCAATCTTGGTTCTTTATCACTTGCCATGAAAGAAGAAATCATTAGATCAAGCTGACAAATATTTCTACTCATTTCTGCACTCTTTCAATAATCAATTAGAATAATATGCATCGATCATACCGTGAAATTCTACTTGAATTTCGCCTGTATTTGTATCTCGTACCTTGTTTTTACTTTTCTATCAACGTTGGCTGAAAATTCTCCATGACGAAGTTGAAAAAAGAAAATCAGATTTTATATTGTTCAAAAGCTTTCCCAATTAACACTAGAAAAAATCCTAATAAATTATTAACAAAAAATAACATTAATATCGATGATAAAAAAATTATAATCACTGTAGACATTAACAAAAACATAACTATGAAAAATGTCATTAAAAAAACTAGTTTGCACTTGTCAAGGAATATATCTTCCATATCAGCTAAGAAAATGTTATCGAGTGAGGAATATTATTGGTATAGAAAATCTAATTAATATAAACTAAAAACATTGTGACTGACGACATTGATTTGAAAATAATTTTGGTTTAATATCAACAACAAGAGCTCCAATGATGTCTACCTACAAATAAACACAATCGAGATTCATAAAAGAAACATTTGCTAACATTTATCAAAAAATAATATTGAGATTGTAACTAAAAACCTCAGCCTAACCTGTAATGTTTCCGAGTCTTTGTCAAACCATCGATCAAAATCAAGTTTACAAGATAATACTAAAAAAACATAAATTTGAAAAATCTTTAAAAAAAATAATTATAACTATTTTGAATACTTTTTAAATTTTCTACTCAAACAACATATTAATTAATATTTTAGTTTTGATGAAAAAATTAATTATTTTCCTTAAATTTATACCATAGCAATATTAGACATTTTCTCAATTTTTTCACTCGTGATGGAAAAGAGATATGTCAAAATGGTTTCCATGAATAATTTTAGTTCATCATATATTTGAATTGAATTAACTTGAAAAAATATAACTTTTTTAAATGTAGGTTAAAATATATGGGTTAAATGAGTTCATGTCACATTGATATGTAACCTACCAATAATAGTTTTTTTATTACTTTTTATGGTTTTTTATAAGTATTTTATATTATAATTATTTTTTACTTCTAAATATGTAGGTAGATAATTTGTTTTTTTTAAAACTAAAATATTGTTCAATGATATATAAATAGCTTTAATATTTAATTTATTTGTTTGTTAAATTAAGTAGGCTAATATTATAATTTTTAAATATGGGTTAAATATATTTTTAGTCTTTATATTTATATGTAAATTTAGAATCTGTCTATATTTCAAACTTTGATACAATTTGATTTTCAAACTTTAAAAATGAATATTTTTAGTTTTTATAACCAATTACGTAAAATTTCTTTTAGACATATTAAGTGATGTTTTAGACTAATATTTTAGTAGTTTTTTATTCAAATGTCATATTAAACTTTGTTAAATTAAAAAAATTATATTAATTTATTTTTAAAGTTTGAAGAATAAAATACACCAAGAAAAAAACTAATTTCAATTTTATATCATATAAAGTAGTGAAAACATATTTAAAATTTATAATAATATTAAGTGAAATATATTACAATAAATTTATAAAATAAATTAAAAGATAAAAAATATCATTAAAAATTAACTCATCTAATTTACTAAAGAATTACAAAATTTATGATTTGTTAAAAAGTAAACTGATTGAACTAGTATTTTCTTTTTTAACTCAATCTCAATCAACTCGTGTGAGACTAACAAAACATCTTCGACAACCATAAGTAACATCTTACAACGTAAAGAATTTTTTTTTTCCGCCAAATTCTTTGTTTAATGAAGTTAAAGATGGAAAGCTTCCTGTCTAACAGACTATTTTCAAGGATTAATTGCATATAAGGCGGCATGGAGAAATAGGCCTTAAAAATCCTTCGTAAGTGTAGGCTTTATCATATTAGTTTCTCCCACAGAAGCTTCCGTAATGCTTTACCATACTAAGACCAAAAAATAAAATTGTTAAAGAAAGTCCAATTACTACCGTTTGGATATGGAGATTTATCAACGTGCATTTCAGAGAGACCCATCTTAAATCAGACCTAAATTAAAAAAAAGGAAACTTTTTTATTTACATCCCTCAATGTTAAATAAATATAAATATTTAATACAAAATAGGGTGTTTGTATCGTCGCACAATTAAAAATCACTCTTTGAAAAGAAAAGACATGGACATGAAACGGCCTATCTTGGCGGTTGCATGACAAGCATGGCACGGCAGCAGAGTCACGAAGTGGCCCCACCCAAAATGATTGGATGGCCCATGTCACCACCTTTTCTTTACGCGATTTTTCTTGCTTCCCACCAATAATTAAGAGCCACGCGTCCCGACAACGACGCCGCCAACATACCTACGACGATGTCCACCTGGACACGTGCCGTTCCCTCAAACGTCTTGTTACCTCGGAATAGTGTGCGCGTCACACTGTCGCTGTCTCTCCTTCCCCACTTTACCCCTCTCCTTGTCTTTTTCTCTTTCCCTTCTTCTTTTCCTTACTATTCACTCTTCTTCGTTCTCACACACCCCACCTTGTCAAATTCGTTTCAAATCACTCAAACAAACACTATTACCCATCAATTTCCTTGGAAGGGTTTTCGAAAAGCTTCCTCATTTCTGGCCAGAAACCAAGGAAGAAAGCAAGAGAAAGTGGAAAAAAAAAAAACAAATTACAAAAAAATTATTCTTTATTATGTCATTCCTCTCTTCTTTGGGCTTCCATCTCTGTCTCTACTCCTCGAACACAATGGCCATCAAGAAACCTCTAAACCTTGTTTTCTTCATTTTCCTTGTTTCACTGCCATTTGTTCAATCCTCTACTTCGACTGAGTTCAAGAAAACCACTCTTCATTTCCTTAAGGTTGTTTTTGGCTCTGTTAAGTCTCAAGCAAACACACAGGTATATATATATATATATGATAATGCAAATAAAATCGTTACAAGCTATTTAGTTTTTTTTTTTTTATGTTGGTAACATGGGATTTTTCGTTTAGGTTGAAAGATTCGGGAATGAAGCTCCTTCTACTGGCATGGTTGAAGACTCGGCAAGAGAAGTTCCAACGGGACCTGATCCTCTTCATCACAATAATCACCCTATAGGCCATTGAGTTACCTTCCTTGAAAAACTCTCCAATATACATTTTAGTACATGTTAGGTTCCTGCTTATTCCACCTTTTCTTTTTATCTTATATTTCCATCAATGGTTCAATGTCGTATCATGAATTAAGTGCTTATGGTTTTGATGTACGAGCCATACATATATATATATATATATATGTATATGTATCCTCTGCAATGTGCTTACTTTTGTATATAATCAGAAACGGTTATACTCAATTGGGATCGATATATTTGTTAATCTTTTTGCAACCCTTTTTTGTTTTCCATTCTGTTCATCTTTTATGTGTGGTGTTGGCCGGCCATATTGGTCATTATTTCTTACACCCTTCCAAGAAGACAAAACAACTGGAACAGAAAGTGGAACCATTTGTTGCCTTTTACAGGAAAAAATGCAAAGAGCTCCTCCAATTTGCATAGCAAATTGGTGGTACAATTTTCAGAGTGGTGGAACCATTTCCTTTTGATGCTTACTGTATTTCAAGTTCTGCCATCAGTCTAACAAATTGCTACAATTTTAATATTAGTGGCAAATCAAGGATCTTGAATTTTTCATTCTAGCCAACATCTCTCATCACCTATAAATGCCAAGACTTTTGGACAACCTTAGATAGATAGGTTTTTTTTTAATGAATATTAATCAAAATTAAAGTTTAACAGATTAAAAAAAGAGAGCAAAGAGTTAGAGAGAATTTTTAGAGTTAGATTTTTGGACCACATATGTATGATTTCATGAACTTGTGATAACTTCGCATAATGTCATATAAGCAAAGAGTTATGTTCTAATGACTAATCAACCAAAATGATTTATTTGCAAATAATTATGGCACCTAAGAAAATGAAAGGAGACACAATATTCTCTTTTGGGATATTTGATATCAATTCAATGCACAGCGCAAGATTCAAATATCAAATATCCGTAGTTTTATATTCAAAATATCTCTCACTTATACAATAAAATGAATGAATATGACCTAACTATTTTTTAATTTATGTATGAAAATAGTGAGCATGGAAAAGTGTTAACAAGTGTGATTGGACCTTCCTTCTTTTTGGGCTGTTGTAGTTCTCTTTATTTAATGCATAGTTTCAAAATTTATGTGACGTTTAGGTGATAAACGTGGCTTCCTTTAATTGAAAAGCTCAATTTCTAATCTTTTGCTAGAAAACGTGGCATCATAGGAGGCTATAGTGGAATAAAATAAAAATAAAAAAACTACGTAATAGTGTGGACAAAAAATATCATAAAAGAAAGACAAAAATATCTGAATATACCTTTTGGAAAGGAAAGAGAAAAATATCTTTCTGCCTAATAAATAATGATTGATTAGCGATCATTATTTACCTTTGGGTCCTAAGCTAAGATACTTAGAAATATCTATCTCTAGGAGAGTGTCTCTAACATCCAACACTTTTATTACATACTTTCACTTTTTCAGTTCAGTCGCTGGAGTTCTCTCCTTGCGCCGCCGCAGCAATGTCCTCCACCACCGCATCCGGCGACGGCACTCCATCCCTCCACTTCGATACGCCGACGCTGGACCGGGAGTTAGCGGCGCTTCTCCACTCCATTTCCGAGCACGGCGGGTACGCGTACGTGAGCATGGCAGCGCTGGCGGCCGGGGGCGACATTCGCGCGGCGGAGGCGGCGTGTGAGATGGCGTGGGAGCAGCTGCACTCTGGGCCTTGGCACTCGGTGCTGCCGGTGTGGCGCGACGCGTACTCCATGGCTTGCCTCCACGTGGCTCGACACCACTATGGCAACGGGGAGTTCAGGGAGGCGCTTAGGGTTTTAGATTTGGGAATCATCATGGGAGGGACGCTCCTTCGCAAGGATTTGGACTCCGCCGTCGCGAAAGTGTCGGAACAAGCTCGAAGGACCGTTAGGGTTTCTGAACTGGGAGACTCGGGACACCGGTTCGTCGATCGGGACTTTAATATGGCAGAGGTGAGGTCCGTTCCTCTTTGTTTGCTTTTATCATCGTTTTTTAATCTGCATTTGGGAAATCTTAATCGTGAAGCTTCAGTAAATTGCTGAAATACTCACGTTAATCCAAACATGTAGTGTGCTAGTGTAACTATCCGGGATGATGTGATACTAGTTGTTTATTAATTTTGGAATTGGAAGGTTTTTTACTTTTTGTTTTGGTTGCATTTGATTTTGTTTTCTTCAAGGCTGTTCTGCTCTAACGTTTATGTTATAGCTTTTTACACTGTAGGTGCTCCAACTTTTACCAATTAAGTCTCTTTCTTCTACGCTTGTGGTCAAGAAATCAGCGCTGTCGTTGGATAAATTCCTAAAGGATCATTACCTGTCTCGCTCTCCGGTTATTATCAGAGATTGTATGGCTCACTGGCCAGCCAGCGCGAAATGGAATGATGAAGATTACTTGTTGAGAGTTGCCGGTGACCGCACAGTTCCGGTTGAGGTAATTACTCTGATGGTCTTTTTGTGATTATAAGGGAAGACACCTGCACTTCCCTGAGGAGCAAAGGGAGAGGGATGAAGGTTTGATTTTCTGAGATTAAATGTGTTTGTTTGATTTTTTGAGATTACATGTGTTTGTTTGATTTTCTGAAACTGAATGTGTTTGTTTGATTTTCTTCTTTTCTAAAGAGAAAAGGTTATTGGATGGCTGACAATTGTTTTCAGTATGTGAGTTAAATTTAACTCTACTAATTGACAAGTACCAAACTGTAACCTAACTCAGTGGGAATATATGTGTGAAACATGTTCAAGCCTACTGATGTTGAAAATATAATATTTAGAGTTTGAGACCAAAGTTTAAGCAAAAATGGAACATTGTCCAACATGGAAAGTTATTGACAAAACACAAACTTGATGCACTTGTGTTACATTATTGTCTTTGCGTTGCAACTTATATCTCGTCCTCTCTTTATATTTCCTCAATTTGTGCCTACAGGCATTAAAAGTTGGCCATCTACTCATCAGTTAGATTGGAACGTACTATAATGTAGTTAGTTTATTTGCATTGCATAATATTCCCTTCAAATATTTTGGGTTTATAGGCCTAAATATGTTGTGTAAAAAATCCTAGACCTTTTCATGTGTCAATGATCTAACAAGTGAATAAATTTTGTTCTGGTTGCAACACTTTGTGAGTGAAGACTTCCCCCTCCATTCCTCTTTTTAATCTGATATTCCATTATAGGTTCTTTTCTCCCATTAAGTTCTCAAAACTGAAATAAAAAATAGGTCACGTAGACAAAAGTTGATGAAATTTATGATTCACATAAGTTTTTCTGTCAATTCTTAAACATTGTAACATATATGTTACATCTAAGGATGGCAAATCAATTCATTTATCCATCGTCCATTTAGTCCATCCACCAGTGAATACATCTATTACCAAGATATAAAACAAATGAATCAGATCAAGTGCATCCATTTAATTTCACAGATGAGTAATGATCTACTCGTTATTTTGGTCCTCCTATCAATATTTAACGGTCATAGTTAATCCAATTAGTGTTTCTGTTAGGTTCGTTAAGATAAGAAAGAAAGAACACAAACCAAAAAGACGTAGACTTACAATAACTTTTGCATACAAAGGAAGGTACTTTCTTTCACACAGGTATTCCCTGTTTACAAAGCCAGAGGCTCCCCGTTTTCGAAAGCTCCCCCAACACCTCCCTAAAGGCAACTATATATAGACTCTCAGAAAGTCTCCCTCCCACCAAAACAACCAACTGCATAACCACCTTATATTTTAAAGTTTCCTTCTATAATACACATTCCACTTTCTGTCATTATTTCCTAGCCTAACAATTTCATAATTAAATCTTTCTTAACAGTAAGTTTCCAAATCGTTTAGAAACATACATTTAAAATTTATTTTACAGAATTTATTTTTGAAAGTTAAGCAAAATATATTTTTTAAAAAATTAAAATATTATCTATACCCAGATTGGATATCCATCTATGAAAAAAAATGTTAATGGTTGGATCAGATTTTTAATGAATCAATATGGATTTCTTTCATCCGATTCATTTTAATCTGAAGTAATTTATCCAATCTATTGTCACCTCTAGTTACATCTAGTACCATTTGAATGTACATAGCATTTACCTCATGTAGATTTTTTTGTCATGGCAAGGCTGTTGGAAGTTGTTTAGCAGTATACATGAAATTCCTTCAAACACACACAAGGTGAACAGGGTGGAGTGGTTTTGTAGGTATTATATATTGTTTTTATTTTTAGATAAATTTTACAAAAAAGGGTAACTTGCAGCGTTTTTTCCAGGTTGGAAAAAACTATTTATGTGCTGAATGGAAGCAAGAGCTGATTACTTTTTCAGAATTTATTCAGCGGATAAAGTCTGGTGCCTGTTCTCTTGGTGGTCCTACTTATCTTGCTCAGCATCCATTATTTGATCAGGTATTTATAATTTAGATTTATGTTGTCTCCAAATCAACTTTTTCATTTTAGCCTGCAAGTGCAGGACTTGTACTGCTTTCAGTAACTGGCATCATTGAAATCGCAGATAAATGAGCTGCGGAAAGATATTTTTATTCCTGACTATTGTTTTGCTGGTGGAGGGGAGCTACGATCTCTCAATGCTTGGTTTGGTCCAGCAGGAACAGTGACACCATTACACCATGATCCGCATCATAACATACTAGCTCAGGTAACTCAGCTGTACAGAAGTGAGCTGTCTATTACAAATCAGCTTCTCTACACCCACCCTACCATACAGAATTCATTTATGTAACTCGGTTTTTGAGCATATATGTAAACCAAGTAATTATTACTGAAATAATGGAGGTACCGTGACTCCTACTTTTTGCAGTGCTATTACCAAGCCAATAGCTGGCGTAGCATAGTTGATGTTATTCAAGCTATAGACAAAATATGAAATTTGGATGTACTGTGGCTTATTTCAAGAGACCTTTAATACATGAAGATGACATTGTCGTTAATATTATATCCTTGTTATTTTTAATTGCGTAGAAGATGCTGCCTATACTATTTTTTGTAGAACATTGCCTATAGTTACATTATACTAATAGCCATGTATTATGCACCATGGAATAATCTATTTCACTGAAATCATTTTCTCACTGACAGGTTGTTGGAAAAAAATACATTAGGCTTTACTCGTCATCTTTGTCTGAGGAACTTTCCCCCCACTCTGGTACCATGCTCAGCAATTCCAGCCAGGTAATTAGTTTCCTGAACTATATGATTGGACAGCTTGTTTTGTCTACTTGTGCCCTTTGCTTAAAAGCGTAATAATATCTAATACATCTCATCTAAATGGCCAAAGAGCTCTAGTAGCACTTCATTAATTTGCGCTGTCCACTGTGTTACTCAATGTAAGCCTAGGCTTTTTTATCCTTTCACTTGCTACAAATTTTCTAGACAGCCAAGTGATCAAGTCTTTTAAACTTATAACGAACCTAAAAGATTCCATATTAGATCTGTCATGACATATGAGAGTAATTTTGTTGTGACGAAAATGATTCTTCAGCAGATGCAATGCTTATTATTGTCTATACAAGCTGCCAACAGAAAGTAGAATTCAAAGGAATATGATAGTGTATTTGCAGTTTACATATACAATATGTGACAGGTTTATGAACTTAATATGTTGCAAAGTGGAAACTTTATGGGAGGTATTGATTTTTGTTTAGCTTTACTGCAATTTCATTGATACGGCAAAAACTGTGCCATCCGTTCTCGTGTTTTCATTTAACTTGTCCTTATTTGTTGATTTATATTTATTTTTTCTTTTGATATTTTGAAATCTGTGTGCCCATGTTGATTAGAATTGTTGTCTTAAGGTTGATTTAGATGACGTAGATGAAAGGAAGTTTCCCAAGGTGCAAGAGTTGGAATTTGTAGACTGTATTTTGGAGGAAGGCGAAATGTTATATATCCCGCCAAAATGGTGGCACTATGTGAGGTCTTTGACTACAAGTTTTTCAGTTAGCTTTTGGTGGAGTGAGGGTGACAATTCGGATGCATCCTAATCCTATGCCATCATTTTCGTCTCTACTTTTCATTCTTTCTTAATTGAGAACTCAGCGTGTTCTAAGTAATGTTCCTAATATCTATGTGGCAACTCGTTTTACCAGTGATAGTATAATTCTCGTGCATAAACATCCTTTTTGGCACTGTTTCTCGTGACGGACACACGTCCTTTAATTACTCATCACAATAAAGCTTTGTGAATTTGATTATGAAACTCTTGTTTAATTATTGATCATAAAGATTTGTCAAACGCGTTACCCAACAGTTAAGTAATGTTATTCGTACTCTATTTTTGAATTTTACCAGTCTCCATTTGTATTGATATCAAATCATAACAAGGTATTCTTGCTTCCGCATGCGTATGGACGATTTATCTGACAAGATTGTCTCTACAGAGAGGGAGTGAAGATAAAGATTTCAATTTCTTTCTACCTCAACAGTTCTCCCTGCTACTCCCTCGTTTTGTTCTAAAAAAATCTGATAAACATCACTCTGCAAATTTAGAAAGAAAATGTAAATCAAAGGGTTTCTTTTCCGAGTACCTGTCTCTAGCAATTGGGAAAATTTTCCCCACGTTTAGTCCTGGTCTTAATTTCTTGTCTTAACCAAGGCAGTTGTTAAAAATTAGTTTGTATTTGTATGATAAGTAAATTAGTGGAGAATATGGAATCCATACAAAAATAATATATATATATATATATATATATATATATATATATAATGTAACTCTACCTCTACAGTTCTCTGTAGTACTCACCCGTTTTTATCTCAAATCTGAGACGTGACACTGCGATTCAACATCAATTATCGCTACTTGATTAACGAGTTTATTTTCCCAGTTATAGTAATTTTAACTAAGAAAAATATTTCCTCTTTTTGTCGTAATCTGCATAAAGACCATCTGAATCTATATAAGTTTGTAAATCAAGTAACAGAGTACAATCATGCAGTGATCAGTAAATTAAGCTAAACAGGTACTGTCCGTATAGGTTTCTGGGGGTCCTACCAGAAATGTAATTTTAGACCACCGTTACCAATAGCTGTAAATATATGGTTTTTTAATGCATTTTCTGTGTTCTGAACTACATGAAATTGGAGGTATTCGCAATGACAGAACGAGTGACAAAACATAATTTTATTTAACGACAATTCTCTAAACTTTTGAATCTTTATCTATTCAATGTCAGGCACCCACAATTGAACATGCACTAAATTAAATCACTTACGACTATTATTAATCATCAAATACGGCTAGTTACTGAGTTACAGGTGGAAAAGTCTAAGTAAAAGAAAATGTACATATAAAACTCATTACTAGTTTTCTTAGGCTGCAGACTTGTACCTGCAAAGAACTTTACACCTCAAGACCCTATCCTGAACATAAAATCCCGGCATCACCATGATCTTAACTCTGCTTGGCCCTTGTGACCTTGGACACATATCCTCCATGTAGTGAGGATCAAAGAGTTTATTCTCTTCAACCCTTAGAATTCCCAACGGAGGGTTGAAAGAAAAGGCAAGCAAATGTAGCAGCCACATGCATTTTGCCGCCACAAAGAAAGCTTGAAGAAGCTGTTCAGGCCATGGCCTTGTCCATTTTAAAGTAGTATTGATACAACTCATTTTCTGGTCACAGAACTTGCTAAACTCTTCACTGTAATATTTTGTTCCCTTTCTCAGTACCTCATTCCAGCTCAAATTTCTAAGGGCAACAAAAGAAGAGAATTGTGATTGACGATCCTGCTGCGGGTCTAGGAATTTTGAGCAACCGTTCTTTTGGAAAACACAATTCTCAAAGTCTTGGTAGAGAGACTGATTTATAAAAGCTTCAAAATGGTATAGAACTGCCTTTGAGAACTTGGAACTCAGAGATAACTTGTAAGGTTGGAGAAGCAAGTTCAAATTTTCTGTCAAAGAATGATCAGTCTCTTCAATGTGAGTAATAAGGGTCTTACAGAACTGCTTCACTGATAATCTGGACTCTGACACTATCTGCAAGAATCCCTCTACCATTACTTCTTCACTCACGGGCATCCTATTTTCCCCATTTCCTTCAAATAGTTTCCCCCTCTGAGGAAGATCAGTAAGTTGGTCACAAAGTTGAGAATCCTTTGTCTTCACGGCTTGCTTTAGAGCTTTCTTCAGCTCTTCACAGTAACTCTCCAAGTACTCCAGCTTCTGTTTCAGCTCTCCCAATGAACCTCTCATCTCAGAAACTTCCATTAAGGCCACATCTCGGTTCTCATTTGCTTCCACCAGCTCCTTCTTCAATGTCTCCATTGACATTATTCCCAAGTCCTTGAGAACCTGAGAAACATCCTCAGATTCTGCTCTATTAGGGGAATTCTCGTTCTTGTGTTTCTTCTTTAACCTGGGAAACAACCAAGAAATCACCCCCTTGCTTTTGGGTTGGGATTGAAGAGATGAGTGTGAATCCGTAACTGGGACAATAATGTTGGAGCTCTTGCTGCTCCTTGCATTCTCAAAATCGCTAGTTATGGTGGCAGGGTTGCATTTGTTGCAGGAGGATACGGACTTGAAATCCTCCATGCTGTTTCTCCTCCTACCCTTGGAGTAATCATTTGCAGGTGATGTTTGCAGAACAGTTATTTGATTTGCGCAAGAGCCAGTCACAGATTTGGCATCTTCAGTAGGGCATGTGTGAGAATCAACGTTGGCAAAACCAGAATATAGTCCTTTTCTTGAACTTGATTTCTCCTTGTAATCTGCTACAATGGTTTCTCTGCTGTTTCCTCCTTCTAGAAGACTCCCATCCCAACTTTCTGATACTGTTAGGCTTTTCATGGAGTTTTGATGGTACACCACCAGTGGATCATCTTCATAGCTCTGTCAATAGAAACTTACCATCAATCAAAATTGAAAAGGGAAAAATATACTAAAGGGGAGGGGGCCTTGCAGTTGCAGCCGCAAATATTGGTAGAATCTGAAAATAATGAAAAACTGAAAAAAACATTAAATTATTCTTCTAATTAAAGAATCATTAAGACAATAAATATAAAAGTTTCACGATTTGCCTCAGGCTCAGCTCAGTTGACTTAATGAACATTAAAGAGTTCCATGACACAGAATTTAAAGCGAAAATCCAAAATGCTCAAAAAAGTCAAAACTTTCATTCACGGTCGGTGTTTCTTCAAGATTAGATAAGAAAAAAAGAGGAGCAGCGAGTAAGGATGTAACCGCACTAATAATGACATCTACCTAACCAGCCATAAGAAAGCAGCAGTTTCATAATTCTTTCAATTGTAATAAATAGCAGCGTTCAAGCGAAAGGGAGCACCACAAATTCAAGTATCTTAAATTTGGTCTTTATCATGATTAACAGCAACGGTCAATTCAAACATAATCTAGCAACAGATAATCCAGCAAAAGTACTCTGTTTCTTAGTGAAAAATCGCTGCTTTGCAATGAATTACGAAGATTCTAGGATACCCATTTCATCAAAATAAGTAAAAAACAATTTTTCAAGCCAAAATTCAAGAAAAAATTACAATACCCACTGGAGTGAAAACAGGGTAATCTTGGGCAGAGAAGTGAGAAACAGGGCGCGAAGCAGGGGAAGGGGATGGGAATCTAGCATTGGCTGGGCTATTTCCTCGCATCAAAGCCGCATGAAGAGCTCTCAGCTCCACTGCTTTGGCTATGGCCGCCTGAATTTCCTGCCTCGTAATTTCAGGGTTTCCATTACTTGTGTCCTTGTAGTCTTTGAAAACCTGTGCTGATGTTGCTGTTGTAGCCATGAAGCAGAACAGAGAAAGAAACAGAGTGGAACATGCAAGTTTCTAGAGGATAATATGGGCACCGGATGAAATTAGAAACTTTAATTTATAAGGGCCAGAAGAACAAAGGGATGACCAAGTGGTATTTAATGGTTGGACTTGATTTTAAGCCTATATCTAAAGTGGAACCTTGGAGAACCAGAAAATAGGAAGAGAGATAGAGAGGGGCACCCTAAGTCCAAAGAGTTTTGTTTTTATTGTCATAGGAAAAACTAATGGAGTAAGTCCATGTGATGATGTGAAAAGAAGAGAGTAAGTTTAAGAGAGAAGGAATTTAACTCTGACATGTTTCTAACACATCAGCAGTGTGTTGCAAGTTTACCAATTTACCCACAGATTCCAAAATTTACCAGAATTCAGCATTAGGTGGTGGTACCACTGTTTCACATGATTGCTTTAGTACGAACATGAGAAGTTCCATGCCACTATCTTCCACTTTCACATATGTGGTCAACCATTTCTGCTTTCAATTTAGGAATACTTTGGACTAGATGTTGCTTTAATTCTAATTCATACTTCGTGTGTAATCATCACAGTTAATAATAACACGGTTATGTTATGTTCCTTTGCAGAACTTCCTTCACAAAGGCATCAATTCACCTTGGCGGCTTTTCCTTTTCATGATGAGAACATGTTCATATGTGATAAGGTAATATTTTAGATCCCACTATATGCTACTTTCATATACCCATTTCGTAACGTGTGTGTGTGTAGGGTTTTCTCACCAATTTCTTCCTTACTTGGCTTTCAGCCAAAGACCTAACATAGAAGGTTCCTTTTCTTCAATCAAATGGAAGTTTTAAGTGCTAAACATGTCCTGACAAGTAAGGTCACTGGGAAAATTCTTAAGAAGAAACCCACTTTTAAAGTTCATTGATTTAATCTCGTTTTGGACGATTTAGAAGCTTTTAACTTACTCCAACTGCTAAAGTAACTCTTTTTTTTTTCTTTCTGCAAATCCCTAACGTGCAATTATGTTGGTTGAGGACCATATTCTGCTAATAAAAAAACTGAAGATGAACGATACTGAGGCGTGAAAGGTGCAGTTTCTTTTGGCCAAAAGGGAAAAGAAAAATAACCAAAACGTTCTAAAAGTTTGACACTTAGCAGACATTGAATCATATATTGGAGACAGAGTGTCACAGTGGGGATCAAGTGATCAAGTGGCCATTGGGAAGCTCTGTAAATTACAAAAAAAATCCTGTCATGTGCCATATATGAACATTACTCCAAAGGGTATTTTTGAAAACTGAGAATCTTTATCATTCAACCTGGTATCTTTTTCATAACTGCAACTATAATTTCCTACAGGAAAGTAGAATCTTTGGGGGATATTGACCCTAATATTAAATGTTTAGAACAGTTATTTAAACCTAGTGGAGGTAAAGTTGCTAACATAGTTATTTTCACAAGGTGA